TTATTAAGTAATATTTTTATGGAAGATTTTGAAAATAATACAATAAATCGTATTTCAAAAAAGACTGTAATATGGCTGCGTTATATTCATAATATTTTTGCAATATGGCAACATAACGTTTCTGAAATAGACATTTTTTTGGATTATATAAATTCTCGCGAACCTACCATAAAATTTACTTTAGAAGTAGAGAGAGGTAATCGTTTGCCATTTCTTGATGTTTTAGTGTCAAAGTTTCAAAATAAACTAATTTTACATCTTTACAGAAAACCCACAAACACAGATAGATACTTAAATTTCACATCTAATCACAGTATAAGTGTAAAAAAAGGTGTTATAAAAAGTTTATATGATATGGCAGAAATAATATGTACAGACGACATTTCACTAAACAGAGATATAAACCACATAAAAAATACATTAATAAAAAACGACTATCCACCATATTTTATTGACACAATATATAAAACTTACAATTCCATACACACGAGGCGTTTCGGAAAAAATAAGGATAGGAAAACAATATAACATACGAACATCTTTCAAAACACAAAATACACTTAGATCCATTTTATCACATACTAAACCAATGAATACAGAACAACAAACAAAAAATGTAATATACCAAACACCCTGTGAATGCGACCCTCTAGACCCTTAAATGTTAGAATTATAGAACATAAAGATTATTTAAAAAAGGGAGATTTTCACAAATCTAAGATTTGTCAGCATTCATGGGACACAGGGCAGAGAATAAATTTTAATAACGCCAAAATTATAATGAAAGAAGCGATAGCCTCTAAAAGAAAAATAAAAAAGGCTTTTTTAATTATATTATTAATTATAAACATAACATACGAAATATTTAAAAATAATCATACAGAAAGTTTGGGCTTTTTGGTTTTACCTTATTAAGTAATTGTTATCAGGTAGTAATTGTTAATTTTGAAGTTTAACTTGATATAATGTCATTTTAACAGAACGTCAACGGTTTCTTGTAGACGTATCTGTTTTAAAAATGTAAAGTGTACTCGAATAGTTGAATTTAAATATTTTAAATAATTTTTTTCTTTATTCTTTGTATTTTTTTTGCTTCCGACGACGGAAAGAGATAGACTTTCCGAAACGTTAAGCATTTTTTTTGTTCGTTAGGCAAATTTGTATAACTGTAAACATAACTTCTGACAAACAGTGTCCGTTTAGGTTTAACGCAGAAGTGTTTACAAAAAATAACTATTTTATTTTGTAGATTTTTTTGCATTGCAGTGGCGAAATACCCATAAAGGATTTCTTTGGAGAGATGAATCCGCAATATTGGTATAGACATTTTTTAAAAAATATATAATAGTAACAGTAAAACTAAGCGACAAATATAGTACATGTCTATATTTTATTTTAGAGAACAACAAAAAACAAAAAACAAAAAGAAACAAACTAGATTACAGAAATTATATAGTTGTTTTCAAACGAATCACAGTGGTAAATTAGCAGAAGTATCTAGATGTACATATAAATGCGTTGTTTTGAATTGAATTTTCATACAAACTGCTAAATTAAATTTGGTATGTTTTTGTTTTAACATTCAAAAATAAATTAATCACGATATAATATATTCTTTCAACTAATTGGACTGTGTTAAAAAATAAGAGTAATGAAACAAAAAAAATAAATAAATTGTAAATTTTCTTCCTCTCAGAAATAATAAGTCAGCGACAAACGATCGATAGAACACAAAATTTTAAAAATTGTGGGCTAATGCATATCTTATTTTGAGAGTATTTGTTCGTAGTTTATGTCCTTTCATTTGAGTGATCACAGTTGGAGTTGGAACCCTTAAGTGTTACAATACTAAAATAAGAAGATCAAATATACATATCAGCAAATAAAGCTATTAATACTATTGTAGTAATGTTAATTATAGTAAATACTATAATAAACTTTTAGACTCTTTTACTTTTTAGAAAGAAATTTGAGAGAAGATCATTAATACAACTTATACTAAAATAAACAACTTAGTTATACAAAAAAATAAAATTAAAAACCAGCATAAATCTCTCTGTTTTTCAAATGCTGCTGAAAGAGACACTAATGGGTTTAATATTTTAATACGAAATTGTGGTGCGTATACAAAAACAAGATTTATTGTATTTATAAAAGTTTGTCTCTTGATGAAAGTATTTTTATTTTCCAGTTAAATAACATATCGTCACCTTCTAGGTTAATGGAGATCTAATTTCTGTCTTAAATTAAAAGACATAAATATGATGTTCTGGTACTCAATACTGGTAATTTTTTTTTAATATTTTTTTTAAATATAAAAAATTCTATTTAAATAATATCAAAATAAAAATTTAGATTGCTTAACAAATTATGCTTGAAAAATTAATTAGTATTAAATTTAAAATATTAATAGGAACTGACATAGCGTTTCGTAGTAGATTGTTATTTCTCCTTCTTATACCATCTACCATCGGAAGTTGATTATTTAAATGGTTATAATGATGCGTCAAACTGCACCTCTGATGATTTCTATTAATGTTGGTCCGAATCAACGACACAGATCGAATTAAAAAAGCCATGAGCTTTGCCCTTCTCCCACAAATCTCCTGCACTCAATTTCATCCTCAGTAAAAAGTCGGAGCATACCGTATTCCCTCTTATTAAGTGGACCATGATCAGTTTACATAGGTCTTTATATTTGTCTTTATATTTGTCCTCCTGAACACGTTCTCATCCACATATACACAGGATATACCGATTATGCAGGATACCACGACACATAAACATCTTACTTACCATACAATTATCATACATTCTCTCTAATATTCTTTTTTATTTTGTTAGAATGTCGCTGGAGATGCTGGATTTCTAGCAGCCGTTACATAATGATTACAATTTATGGACAATCAATATTAATGAATATAGCTCGGGTAAAAGGTATACTTACAAATTTATAAGTGCTAAAAATTTAGGTGAGTTTAAAAAAAAAAAGAAGTTTGAAGTGAAACTTCTTACTTCCGTCTGTCTGTATATTCGTCTGTCCATTAAAAATTTAAAAAAACTCCAAAATTACAGTAGCTAGCGAAACGCGGTTTTCAATTTAAGATTAGGAATAATATTTGCAACAAAATTTGTTATAACATCAAAATCAGTTAAAGTCGCAGCTTTTGAGATAAAAAAATGGAAAAATTCCTTTACTTTGAAACTAAAAGAACTGCCTACCAACTTTTTATTAACATATTTTAGTATGGGCGGCTATACGTGCCTCCCGGCGCCAATTTTTTAAATTATAGTTATTACTGGTGTCTATCGTTTATATCGTATAATTTGATTGGTCACAAAACCGAGAAAAATAAAATATATTTCATCAATCCGTAACAAAATTCGAATTGAAATAGGCCTATTGAGTATCGAACCACTTTATTAGAAAGTGATAAAAAATTTTAACCGACAACAAGGAATTATTATTTTCACTTCTTAATGTTTAAAAAATGTAATTTAGGTTGATATTTCTATATAAATATTTCTTTATTTTATTATTAGTATTTTAAATTTTCTAATATCTAAACAAATTTCAATTAAAACATAAAATTAAAGTATTTTCTTTTTTATAATTTACAGGGTTATTCAAGCAACACGCTCATTTAAAATATTTTAGAATCTAATTTAGATATTAATTTGAATGTTTGAGGTTAATGATTTCTTCGATTGTTCTCTTTTTAAATTAATTTCCACAACTTGGTGCTTCTGGTTTAACCGAAAAAAGATAATAAATTTCTTATTATAATTCTATTTCTTGTCGATTTTTTTATTATTGACATTTTGAGAAAAAAGCATTTTTCATAAAAATTTTTGTTTGTTTTAAAATGGTTAATCCCGTTTATACTTTTCGAAATTTCCATACTGTTTCAGAGAAAATTAAGAGAAACATGAAAATATGGTTGAGTTTCTTCCTAAAAGTCAAAAGGCGTTTCTATGGTAATATCAATTCGATTTCATTCTCTGATAGATGGTTATTATTTATCAGAATAAAAAACGTCATATTTTTTGCTGATGTTATAGTATTTTATTTTCCGATAAATATCATCACCCTATCCGTAGCATTGAACTAAATCAATTTTGTGCTTCTTTAACAATCTAAAACAACAAAAATGGGTGATATCTATCAAAGATATGTATCAAAGAATGAAAACGAAAAATTACCATAGAAACGCGTTATGATTTTTAGGACTTTGAAAAAATTCAATCATATATTCAGGTTTTTCTTAATTTTCTCTGAAACGGTATGGAAATTTCGAGTATAAATGGGATTTTGAGCGGTCTTAGAGCGGGGGTTTTAGAGGCGGGTTTTAGAGCGGGAAGGTCTACTGTGGATCAACTGTTTACCATAACACAGGTCTTAGAGACAAAAACGGCAAAAGATCAAGAGGTACACTTACAGTATTTTACCTCCAAATGGCTTATGACAGCATACCATTAAATAAATTGTGGGAAACGTTGGAAATAACTAATATAAATGTCAACCTACTTAAAGCAGTTAAGAACTTATACCAGAACACCACAGCTAGAATAAAAATACGAGGCTCATTGTCAGAAAGCATAAAAATTACAGAAGGCCTCAAGCAGGGATGTTGCCGATCTCCTATACTATTCAAAATATACCTGCAACAAGCACTAAAAAAATGGATGCTCAAGTGTAGAGGAATGGGAATCCCCCTAATAAATGAGGACATACACCGTATTTTTTGCGGACGATCAGATAGTCCTAGCCCAAGATCACGACGACCTTGAATATATGGCAAGGAAGCTGATAGAGGAGTATAAGAAATGGAGGTTGGAGGTAAATATCACCAAAACTGAATGTGTGACTGTAGGGGGGGGCACAAGAGAACATAGTCTCAGAGGATGGAAGCGAGATAAAAAACTGTGAAAAATATAAATATCTTGGATTAAAAATAACTAACGATGGAAAACTCGATGAGGGTATAAAAGATCGAATAATGCAAGGCAGGACGGCAATATCAATGTTGAATGGTGTACTGTGGGATCAAGGAATCTCTAAAGCTAATAAGAAGAACAAATATAATACGGTAGTGAAAAGCATAATAACTGACGGAAGTGAAGTATGGCAGTTGAAAAGCAGAACAGAGAACATGCTATTAGCGATAGAAATGGATTACTGGAGGAGATCTGCTGGAAAATCGAAAAGAGAACAAATAACCAACGACAGAGTAAGAGAGATTATGGGAGCAGAACACACAATTGTGGACGACATAAGAACCAAACTACTCATATGGTTTGGTCATGTGCAACGAATGCCCCATCACAGAATACCAAAACAAATTTTACTGTGGACACCTCGAGGCAGAAATAAAAGAGAAAGGCCGCGACGAAGCTGGATGGAGGGTGTGGATAAAGAACTAGAAAATAGAGAAATACCTGATGATCTCTGGCTAAATAGAGAAGAGTAGAGGTTAGGTGTCGGAAAACGTCGTAGAACGTTCTGAACTGACTTATATATATATGAACGGGATTTACCATTTTAGAATAAACAAAAATTTTTATGAAGAATACATTTTTCTCAAAATGTTAATAATAAAAAGTTTTCCTCTTTTAAAGACAATCCGGGGACATACTGTAGACATTACCGATTAAATCGTTTCGCACTATTCATTTACATCCTGTACATTCAGTTTTAACCATAATCCTTTAGTCTCGGTCATTTTAATAGAAAATAGGTAAAATATTTTTAAGTGCAAACATAGCTCCTTTTTTACTGTATTTACATAGAAAATAAATTGTTTAGTGTATTTAGCACGGCAAACCCTTATTTAAATAGCAAAGAAAAACACGCAAGCTATAAATTTTATGCTCTATAAACTACACTTAATTAAGAGCATACTGGGTTTCTTTTAAGCTAATTTATTCGTTGCCGGTTTTCTCTTATTTCGCATGGGTATTTTCATGTGTCATGGGTCGGAAAAAATATAAAAATATTATCTCTTTAGTTTTAGAGAAATTTAAATTAAAAAAAATTGTGTGTGCACTGTGTGCGCATATTTGATGTGAAAGAGAGAGTTCTATCTGAAGACTCTATTTGGATAGCTCTATCTACGTGACGAGTTTGGTTCCAACCGACCTATAGCTAAGAAAAATCCTGACGATTTCGTTCATTTAGAGGCATTGGTTCGAAACGTCGTCGTCATCCTATAGCCCGTCCCCAATTATGCCGAAATTGACCATTTCTTCAATATCAAATCGTTAGTCCCACCCTGATGAAGATGTAAACGAAACGTCATATAAAACTTTGCAGGGTGGGATGATGTCTACCGTCGCTGACATAGCCTACCTACCAAATTTGGTCGCGGTCAAACACACGAACACCGGACATCATGTTTTGACATTTCTTACGCCAAAACTAACTGTTACAGTGGCACGTGTCTTACACGGTCAAGTAGGATTTGGTCCAATCTATCGACATACCAAATTCCATTTAAATCGGACGATTTTTTTATTTGATTCATTGATGATTGTGTTTCGTAGTGTACGAAACATCGTCAAAATATAATGAAAAGATGGGGCTCTTTGAGTCCCATATGCATTCCGAGTTTCAGCCATCTATCTCGCATAGGGCTTCAGTTACGACGCTCCAAAAACCCATTAAATCGGACGATTTTTTCACCATTGATGATGGAGTTTCATAGTGCACGAAACGTCGTCAAAATATCATGAAAAGATAGGGCTCTTCAAGCTCCATATACATTCCGAGTTTCAGCCCTCTAGCTCACATAGGACCCGAGTTACGCCGCTCCGTCTTAAGGGCCGGCTACACGTATGAGCTTATCTGCACAAACCTGTTTGTATCAGGAACTCGCTGTGCGTAGACCTTAAGCTTGTTTCATGTAGACGCGAATTGCGGAAAGCGATTTGCCAAAAAATATTCGCAAAATTTGGACCTATTTCATAGAGTCGCGAATTTTTAGGGACATTTCATTTTTGCTCCACTGAAAGTTACCAAAAAAAATCATAACCTGAGATAACTTAATTTATTTTTTATTCATGTTTACGATCTTTATTTTATATTTTATAGCATACAATATGAGTTTAAATTTGTTTAATGATTATGAATATCGATTACGATTGTGGGATTGGAACAGAAGGCGCAAAATTGCCATTTACTCATTAAAACGTAGAAGAGAACGGGTTTATATGTCATTTGAGACATGTGAAATATTTAAATTTCGTAAGCAACAAGGTGCTTATCGCAATTTAATTTAAGAAATGAGGAAATAAGATGCGAAAATTTTTAGGAGTTTTTACAGATTGTCTGTACAGGAGTTTGATAACTTGGTTGAAAAATTGTCACCATATATATCAAAAACATTATGCACGAGAACCCATTTCACCTGGAGAAATGCTTTCAGTTTTCAGTTACTTTGTGGCAGCGTCGTCAAAATAATCAATAACCGGATCACAACACCATTCTGCGCAAACTCGAACCTTAAAATTGCGCAAATATTCGCAAAAAGTTGAAAACACTTTAACTTTCCCGCCCCCCAAATTTTAAATCTTGCGAATCGCCAAAATCTTAATATTTCTGACAGCGCCGCCATGACCATTAAAATTGGACCAATGAGAGCAGTTTCGCAAAATCGCGATTCGCGATTTGCGTCTACATGAATAAGGCTTAAGACGGTGGCACGCACAAACCAAAAAGCGCGGCTTGCGTAGACGTCGCGCTGCTAAAGATTTTAATATGTGCAGACTAGCTTTTCTATACGTGTCAGCTACAGTTTGGTGACTCTTGAGGGATTTGTTTATTATTTTACAGCTTTTGGAAAATGTCCGTTGGAGTGCTTATTCCAAGGAGTTTATAGCGAATTTATTCAAAGAATTGATGACGAATATATCGATATATTTAATTGAAATACGTGTATATCGATCGTTGCCGTGCCTATGGAAGATAAAATTTCCATTTTTACGTTTCCACTCCATTTGGGTCTGTGCCGTTTCTTTTTCTGTTTCTCTTTAACAATAAGCAATAAAAAACAATAAGTCGTAACAGTAATTGGTCACTTGATATTTCCACGAACGGAACCACAAATTCTAAATAAAAATAAAGATGAATAGTTTGGAACGATCTTAAGGTAGTATCAGACACAGCTACTTTTGTTGCGCAATTTTTTGCAGTCGCAGCCGCTGCAAAAGTTGCATACAGTGTTCATACAGAAAGTAGCCCAAAACGCGCAGTTTTTATGCAGCAGCTGCCTAAAAAAGTTGCACGTCGACACTACATGCTTTTCATATGTTCACATCAAAGCACTACTTTTGCAACATATTTTGGTAGCCGCAGCCTTGGAGGGGCACAATTCAACAGTACACCACCCACAGCCAAGGTATCGTGTGTGTACCTTTTGGGAGAGCAAACCGGATTTGGAACTTTTAATTTTTGAACGTTTTTTCGAACATTGTGCACGCAGCGTGTGAATTTTCTTTTTTATGTCTTCATCGGGTATATGTAATTCAGAAGAAATTTCCGAAATAGCGGCTCGTCTTTTCGTTTAGTTGTGATAGAATGGACTTTTTACGTTCAATAAACACTCCCTTGCTTCTACCGCTTCTATTAAATATTTTACTTGTTTTCTGTTCCAAATCGCTTGTTTTGAATTTAATTCTTTACTAAATACCTACATATAAATGTTGGAGTAAACTAAAAAAAAGTGTATACATTTCGGGCATACAAACAGAATACTGCACCGATGTCCGCAGTAAAAGTTTCAACTGATTAGTAATATTTTGCTGCACTTGCAACCTTCCTCAAAAACTGTTCACACACGGATATTTCTTAAACTGCGCGCAACAAAAAAGTAGCCCACGCAACCAAGGTGCTATCGCAAAGTTGCAGGTTGCCTAGGTATTCACACTTGCAACAGATCAAGTTGCGCAGTTTTTTAATGTGCTGCGCAACAAAAGTAGCTATGTTTGATACTACCTTTACTTGCATCGTGTGGACACCACACAGTGTTCCTTCTATTTTATATAACTATACCGTGCAGGCAAGTCGCTGCCGTATAGCCGCCGCTTTAACCTCCTATCGTTACCACTTTTCCTGACGCCTTTCATGTGTCAAGACCTTGAATTTTTCCTCCCATCGTGCGTAAAGAAGTGCCACTTCAAAAAGTGTTGTCACATTACGGAGGAAAATAAAGTCATAATGCAGTCAGTCGAAGCATATACCGTAAAATGTTTGACAAATGATGAAAACTTAGGAAAATAAGTAAACATTGAGATCATATTATAATAATATATAACATTCTTTTAGGCAATTGCAATACTACTGTACTAAACTAAACAAATATGAAAATCAAATATAATTGAAAACTATTTTAATATAAAGAATAATAAGTCTGATACTCCTGATAGATACATGGAAAATAATATATGGTATAATCGAAAAAACGGCGTCCAGTTGGCTGGAAAATGACGATCGACATTTCTCATATAAATTTACATTTAAAATAACAGCGATCTTCATTTCATAGCCATCGCTGACGCCGTTTTTTTTTTTCTCGATCATACGGTACTTAAATTACATTCAAGATTCTATACCCTTTTTTATAATCGTATTTGGTAGAAAAGTGCTGACAGAAAATGTCTCATCCTTCAGTACTGTTACGGACAAATAAGGCGAGCTGATCAGCGATCGTAGAAAATTTCTATGCTAGAGGCCAGCAATCGATTTGAACTTGAGTAGAATGGTCTCGTAAACGCTTGGGCGTTCTTAGTTCTTGATAAATACGATAGCCGCTGTGGAAAGAGAACAGATTCATTCTGAGCATAGGCTTGATGGTTTCGCGAAGACAAATATAAATTAATTCAACATATAAATATAGTTTTTAAGTTGTAAATAGTATTAATGTTGTTCTTTTATAAATAATAGTTATTTTTTATACAAGAAGATAAAATGGTATTTTATCGTCGACCGAAAAGATTAATTGTATAAAACAATATTTTTTCCATAGCGAGTTACGTTTTAAAAAATATTCAGAAATTATTATTTCAAGGAATTTATTACGAGTAGAAAAAATATTGTGCTGGGTTGGCGTTGGTTTTTATGTAATTTGACAAAGAAATATAGCTGTTTCTTTAGTTGTCAGTTTGAGTCAATATTTTTTAATTCTCTTTCGTGTCGATTGCTGATTAAATTGGAGCCAGAAATTGCTCAAAACGAAATAAGTAGATTACCAACAGATATACAAACGCCATATCTAAACTACTTCCATTTAAATCCCGAATAACTTATGAAAAGGAATACAAAAATTTTCAAAAATGGAAGCAATTAAAAAACGTACAAGAAGAAATAAAGTTTTTAATCTATCCTCGCTGTTAAAGTATCATTTAATCTACCCTTTCGGTTAAAGTACTATTTTATCTACTATTTTTGATAGATAAGGTATAAGGCAATTTTAAC